GCTTTACCATAATTTACTTACCTCACTCGCATAAAACCGAAGACTCGATCTCAGTGCTAAACTGACAGAACGATCAGGAACCTAATCAAAATATTCCACAGTTAATACCTCACTACCACAATTTCAAAGTGCTATTTCTATCAATCTCCACATAACTGGACATCTCCAAATTTATTCTTATATCACAAACTAATCATTTAAATCCCTGTTAATCGTTAACCCTCCGTGTGTGAACAGTGCCTATGAACAGTACCCGTGAACAGTGCTCACACCGTGAACAGTACTGCCACTTCCAAAAATTAGCAAAACCATAGCTAATCTCACGGGATTTTTCACACAAAACATCACAGCAGCTAATTCAAGCTAAATTCTACTTAATCAAGCTTAAAACACATTTAAAAGGGCTGCCAAATTCATCCCCTATCCCAGCAGATTCGGACAACACAGAGCATCAACTAATGGATAAAACCCAGCCATTAAATGGGTCATTTTAAGCTTGGAAAAGACGGCAACTTACCAGAATTTAGCAAGCAAAACCGAGCCTAGCAGGGGGGGAGAAGCCGGCGGCAGAGAAGAAGAAATTCTGCAGGGGAACTCACGGCTACCCCATCCAAAAACCAAAACACAATTCAAGGTAAACCCAAGCCAAATTAAAGTTGAAAAGGTGAAGTTTATAGCTGTGGCTTACCGAAAAAGGCCTAGAAATTCAAACCCACATGCTGAAGCCGACGGACAGCAGAGGGAGGGAGACGCAGAACAGATCTGGGATTTTCTGGGTTTAATAGGCGTTCTAGAACAAGAAAATAGGGAGAATCCCCAAGCTTTGCCGGATTTCCAGCCGAAAATGGGTGGCGGTGACAGGGGGGGTCGTCGGGGAGGCAGAGCATCGGGGAGAAGAAAAATGAAGATGAAGAAAAGCAAAACACGTGGCTGAGGACAAAAATATCAGCCTTGATCCTTATCCAAATTTCCTTTCTTTTTAGTCCCTCAACTTTTAAAAATTTTACGTTTAAGCCCCGAAATAAAATTTTCCCTCAAATAAGTCCCCAATTTAATGTTAAAATACCCCAAAATTTTGGGATATTACAATTTTGGGCATAGATTTTTTTTGAAATATAGATTATTCATTTATAAGCTAGATTTTACTTTGAGATGTTATGGTATTAGAGTAGATTTTGAGTTATTGATCTAAGTTTATATGGATTGTTAGTTATGAATTTAGTAAGTTCCGAGTCTTATGCATTTGTGGGTTCCTCTCACAAGTGTATGGCGTCTGTTTCGCCTCGGGATTTAGGTTCTGAAGCGTGACATAATTGTAGATATCTAACATTATTCTCATATATATGATAAAGTCATTTACTAATTATTTTTAAGTTATTAATTTTTTTATTTTTTAAACTTTTAGAATTAAATTGTTACATTTTTAATTTTTGATAATTGGTCTTATAAATATTGTTTTTTTATTTTAATAGAGAGTTAACGAATTCTGTTAGCGAATAAAAAATTAATTAACAAAAGTTAACTGGTTGACTATTAGGCAATTAGCAGTCAAAGTTAAAAGCAAAATGGATGGCATCCAATTAAGGATGACATCTAATAAAAAAAGAGTAGTAGAGGAATGACAATTATGGTGTAAGAAAAGTAAAGGGATGATATTGAACATTTCCTTAGTAGAGGGATGGTAATGAACATTTTCACAAAGTACGAGAACTACAGTTGGCTTTAACCCAAATATAAATAGTTAGAATGTTTTGCATATAATTTTATGCAATATTTTTTAAAGTATACAAGTAGGGGAAAGTGCATATGAGTAGTAATAGTCTAGCCATTATTTTGATGTGAGATTTAAAACACCACAATGTCCTCTACTTAGACACTTGATGTGTTATTAAAATCTAGCCATTATCACAACAAGGCACATAGGACCATAAGTATACACTATAAGCAGATGTATCTATAGTGACGGAAGTTTTTCATTTGTATACACTCTATTTTCATCAATATAGATCTCGGGGGACTATTTCGACAGAAGAGCTTTCAGTTGATGCAAACCTCATCGTATAGGGTATATATTGACACCTAATCCATACATATAGACCCTAGGATCTATTTCAATAGAAGACTTATCCGTTGATATAGACCTTAAGAAATTTTAACAGATTTTACCGTGGGTATAAACCTTTACTTTTACATATGGAGAATTCTATTGTTATATAGACCTTGGAAAATTTTAAAAGATATTGTCATGGGTATAGACCTTTACCTTTACAAATGGATAATACCATCAATATAGATCCTTTTTTTTTTTTTTTTGCAATTGGTAATTCACTTTTATTTTATAATTTTCTCCTACACTTATTCTTTTATTTTTACCACCCATAATTTGCCATTTCCTCATCACATAATAAAACTTGAAATTGGAGACAAGCAAAAGCTAACTATATATGGAGAAAGAAAGAAACTCTAATTTTCCATTTAAAATGATGAAAACAGAAACAAAATGCAACTCCAACCACCCACAATTTGTCATATCCTCAGCACATAATAAAACCTTAAACTGGAGAAAAACAAAAGGTAACTATATATAGAGAATAAGAAAAAAAAAAAAAGCAACACTAATTTTCCATCTAAAATGATGAAAACAGAAACAAAAAATAACTCCAACCACCCATAATTTGCTATTTCCTCTACACATAGTAAAAGCAACTCAACCACCCATAATTTGCTAGTTCTACAACACATGATAAAAGCAACTCTAACCTCCCATAATTTCTTCCATAGAAATTGTACTAATTCATCCATAAGAGAATTAATAACAAAAAAAAAAAAATGCAAATCATAAGCATGTCACCAGCAACATGAACATCCATACCAACATTCTGGAAAAACAACTTGTATCTCATATCAAAAGTTGTAAAGTTGTCCAAAAGGAAACACATCTATTAAGCTAAGTTCATAAATCTTAAAATTGTCGAGCAAGGAGATACAAACATGCGAAGCAATGTCTCTTATGGTACCTGGCCCCATGAGGGATGAAACCAGAGTTTGACTTTGAAGATGCTCGATCTCCTTCCTTATGTCAAAGTATTGAGTCATAAGAACCATGTCCATGACATCCTTTAATGTTGTCCGAAGTACTTTTTCAGAGAAGGCTAGCACACTATCCTCAAACCATTTACTATAGCTTGGCACCACCTAGCTATCCCAACTCTACTTCTCCTTCAGCTCTTTTGATCTGCAATTCTTTGCTTTGGCTTTATCATTTGCAACCACGTTCAGTCTAGTGGCTATTTATTCTAGAATAGTAAAAAATATCAAACATTTGCACAACTCAATAGCCCAAATAAGATGTTTAAGCATAATTTATGTGGTGCGTGTGTGGGTATTGATAGTAGTCCCGGGATCTATTTATCATGGAGTGTGATGTGGAGTGTGATGCTATATTTGGAGTGTGATGCAGCCTAAAGAACTTGAAATTGTTGTTTCTTTTCATTTAGTTTGGAATGTGGTTTCCTTATTGAAAAGTCGTTTACTTTATTTAATTATTATTTCATTGAAATACAATGCTTGATCGAACTAGATGGGTATACTCTTATTGAGCTGTCTAGCTTATGCTTTTAAATCTCATCTCATTTCAGGTACAAACAAGTAAGCATTTGGGGTTGCATTTGGGAATGAGAAGCACAACGATTCTAGAGTAGTTCTTTGGTTTAGTTTAAGTTATTCTGGATTGTGGAATAATTAGAATTGAAGATCTATTTGCTATGACTTATTGCTATTAAATTTTATGTTGGATTTTATGAAGTGAGGATTAAGTGTTTTGGATTTGAAAAACTTCTCGTACATGTTAATAAAGATGGAGTTTCCTATAGAATTTAATTTTATTGCATTTGGATACTAAAAGTTGTTTAGTTAAGGTAGCCTTACACATTTATAGGGTCATCCCTATAGGTGTGTGGCATTTGTTACGTCTTGACCTTGGGGTTGGGGCGTGACAAATTTTGTTTCAAATCTATATTGGCTAACTAATAGGTTAGGGTCAAATGGTCAAGAAAACAAATCAATGCAACTAATATTCCATTTCATAAAGACTCATTTGTCATACCTTCATTTTTATCATTCATTGCACTCTTCACATGCTCATCTAGTTCAATATCCACAACCAAATTCTAAACTATCTCAAACCTGTAATTTGACATGGCCTACCGATCCATAAAATTGGTTAGTTCAAACAAAAAGTGCATAGTCTCAAATATATGATGCAGAAAGGTACCCTTTTAAGTTCCCTTTCCACAGCACTCACAATTTCATTCTTCTGCTTAAATACTGAATGCAGCTCCAACTCTGGAACCCATGGCCGAATAACTAAATGAAAATATAATCCTTTTACTTCCACCTGGGAACCATGATATAGAAACTAGTACTCTTGAATTGAGCCCATTTCAACCATGGCTGAATGAACTATAAGCATGAACTACTTATGGTTCAAAGCCTCAATCAAAGTTTCAAAATCCTCTAAACATCAAATTTTTGAAATAAAAAGTACAAAGATACCTTTTTAACTCTTAAGATGAAGAGGAGACTTTAAACAAGTCAAGTAAATACTTGGCAAACAATGAGTGGAAATCCCAAATGAAATAAACCACAGGTTGCAATATTTATAACCATTAATCTTTTATCTTCATAACTCTCCTATGCATTCATCAGATAACACATCCCATGATAATGAGCAATTTCAGCCCCACAAACCATTCCAAATTTAGACACCCAATAAAGCATATTTCAAATAGGTAACCATTTTATCCTTAATTTCCACAAGGTTGTCCTTTCTAAAGTTCTTTTTCATCATAAAAATGAAGTACCATCCTAACTAACTAAAAACACCATAGTAGGGAAAGAAACATATCCTAACTAGAGATAATAGAAACTTCAACAGGATAATTGATAGCAAAAACTACAAGCAGAAGTTACAGGGCTTAAGTTCGGAGTAGGTATCGTTGTAAACACGGAAAAGGAAGTAACATAGACATGATTAAGTTTCTTAAATAAGTATGAGCTAAAGCAACATGCATACCATCAAAGGCATAGGATTGGATCTGAGTTCTTGTATTGTTGTGCTTATAGAAAGCATTTGACGCCTTTTCAACTAAGGCTCTATATTGAATTGAAGCAACCACATTAATAGGAATGATCGTACATTAGAATTTGCTGAAATAACCAACAAAGACAACAGACAAGAAAAGAAATACTTGCCTCTAATTAATTTTGCATTTGTTCTTATTAAAATCAATTTATGCTAGAAACAATTATTCGAATTTTTTTTTGGAAGAGCATTGGATTTTGACCATGAAATATGTTCTCACACAATAATAGATATTTCCATAAATTAATCATCAGGAATAAAATTTCAGAAATACACCTTTACAACAATGATGAATTATGCTACAAACCTTGGTTTTCATTTCACAACAAATATCCAGCTACTACACCCACAAGGAAAGTGTACCAACTAATTAATGGAGTTGGCAAGATATTTTGTGTACTTACAATAATGGCATTTTTTTTATCAAACATAAACTATTATTCTTCTACATATATTAAATATAGATTAAGTTTTAAAAATTTTTGCTGCATCAAAAGATAATAGTAATTATCACTATTAATTAGAATTGTATGATGTGATAGTAATGTTATTAAATTTTCTATTATTTATATACATCAAAAGAAAGCAGCAACAAAACTCATAGTTTTCAAATTTCTAAGTAGGTTAAGAACTTGTTGTAAAAGTTGTATATCCGTCACTAGGACAAGATTTTCAAATCCACTTACAAGTATTATTTTATTCAACTCACATAAAAAAATTAATCTCTTACATAT